CAGCACACCTTTAAGGGCGTTACAGAGGTGCTTGCTCAAACAACCTGCGGTCCCGCGATGCGGAGCCCAGCATCGCAGATGCTGGGTAACCGCAGGTTGTTTGAAAAGACAAACACTATTCGTTAGAATTGTGTTTTTCTATTGAAAAACAACCGGAGCGGTCCGTCTCCGGGCTATGTTTTGCAAGTCTGGCCGCGAATCGAGACAAGTTGAGCCTCTCCTAAACGAATCCCTCAATCTTCGTAAAAATTTCAGGGTATGGGCTCCCGCAGGCGATCTACCTGATGGCACCGGTCGCTACTCGCTTAAAACCTCGTGGCACGTGGCACGTGCGATTCCATTTTCCCCATGTTAAGTCAATGGGGTTTTGGACACTTTTTGCGCGATCGCCAATGGCGGGAAAACGAGCCAAGGAAGAGGTGGTTTTCTTCCCAGCATTTTATGGCAAACACGTTTGGGTACACGCTAGTGTGCGCCGTATACCCCTCAGAACTTCGTAACGTGTCTTTGCACGAGGTCAAAGTTGAACTTTTTTCGCTCCCCATGTTAAGTCAATGGGCGTTTTTGCAGAGACTTTTTCATTCGCTCATTGTACAAAATTATATGATACGATTTTGTCCAAACTTTCAACACTTATTCAGAATAGGCCGTAGTACATGCCGTTATGCTTCGTTAAGCTGTCAGAATTCGTTTGTTCTTTTTGAGCTCGTTTTAAAAAGAAATTTTTTAACATGCAAAGTCAATGGGAGCGTCTTTGTTGCTTAATAACTTTTTATGTGAAAGATATATTTAAGTGAAAAGTTGATAGGTTATACAACTTCTGATGCTCTTTCGAATGATATATAGAACGTTATTGCGCTTCGTGCCGTTTTTGAGAAATTTAGTAAAAAAGCACGACATTACCGAGATTTGAGCTCAGACCTATATATGGCCTTGGCTCAGACAGTATACGAACAGGTGACAGGGATACCTCCCATAGAAGGATGCGACACGAATTTAATTCTAAATATTAGCGGCCGGCCGCCGTGGGGACGTTTTTGTACGACTTATATCTCCGCAGCCACTGGACCGATACACTTGCGGTTTTTTGTATGGGGTAGCGTATACCCTTCTTAGAAGCATTTTACTATGGACGATGCATGCGGGTGACCCCTACTGCACGTGACACGTGTAAAACGGATAGGTGTCACTTTTGTTGTAATGACAATACCACGGTAATTCCTGAGGAGATTCTGCTGAAACTACACAAGGATGTATGCACACACCGGGCCATGCGTTTTCATGTGTTACGGTTGGGGTGCAACTGCACGTGCGCGCATGCAGGGTGACGCTTCCAGATCTCGAGAACGGCCGGGCCGATTGAGCTCAAATTTGGTACACCGCTAGAGACCGGTTAGTAGGGTGCCGTGCACAAGTCAGATGGGATCCAGTTTGCACGTGCGCACGTGCAGGCTGACGCTTCCATATCTAAAGAACGGCTGGACCGACTGTGCTCAAATTTGGCATACCACTACAGACTGGGTAGAAGGGTGCCGTGAACAAGTCAGTTATTATGTATTTTTATGTGCCACGGATGGGGTGCAGCTGCACGTGCGCACGTGTAGGGGTCGCTTCCAGATCTTGAAATTGGCTGGGCCGATTGAGCTCAAATTTGGTACACCGCTTGAGACCGGCGAATAGAGTGCCGTGAACAAGTCAATTGGAACCCAGGTTGCACGTGCGAACGTGCAGGGAGTCGCTTCCAGATCTCGAAAACGGCCGGGTCGATTGCACTCAAATTTGGCACACCGCTATAGACCGGCGAATAGGGTGCCGTGCACGTCAGTCCGTAGAACACCGACTCCGGTCTGCACGTGCAAGGCTCATCCTCTCGTTTGGCGGCGGGCGTTTTTGCTGCGTTTACAAAGGTGCTTGCTCAAACAACCTGCGGTCCCGCGATGCGGAGCCCAGCATCGCAGATGCTGGTAACCGCAGGTTGTTTGAAAAGACAAACACTATTCGTTAGAATTGTGTTTTTCTATTGAAAAACAACCGGAGCGGTCCTTCTCCGGGCTATGTTTGCAAAGTTGGCCTGAGATTGGGGCAACTTGACCGGGGCCTAAACGAATCGCTCAATCTTCGTAAAAATTTCAGGGTATGGGCTCCCGCAGGCGATCTACCTGATGGCACCGGTCGCTACTCGCTCAGAATTCTTTTGCGCGTGGCACGTGCGATTCCATTTTCCCATGTTAAGTCAACGGGGTTTTGGACACTTTTTGCGCGATCGCGAATAGCGGGAAAAATCGCAGGTCAAGGTATGGTTTGCTGCACACCATTTTATGGCCGACACGTTCAGGTACACGCCCCTGTGCGTTGTATACCCGTAAGAAGTCGATATTTTTTGTAGTACGACTTTGAAGTTGAACTTTTTTCGCTCCCCATGTTAAGTCTATGGGCGTTTTTGCAGAGACATTTTCATTCGCTCATTGTACAAAATTATATGATACGATTTTGTTTAAACTTTCAGGACCTGTTGAGAAGAGATCATAGAACATTTTGTTATGCTTCGTTAAGCTGTCAGAATTCGTTTGTACTTTTTAAGCTCGTTTAAAAATGAAAATTTTTAACATGGAAAGTCAATGGGAGCGTCTTTGGTGCTTAATAACTTTGTACGTTGAAGATATATTTAAGTGAAAAGTTGATAGGATATACAACTTTTGATGCTCTTTCCAATGATATATAGAGCGTTATTGCACGCTGTGCCGTTTTTGAGAAATTTAGTAAAAAAGCACGACTCTATCGAGATTTGAGCTCAGACCTATATATGGTCTTGGCTCAGACAGTATACGAACAGGTGACGGGGATACCTCTCATTGAAGGATGCGATTTAATGCTAAATATTAGCAGCCGACCGCCGTGGGGACGTTTTTGCAGGAGTTATATCTCCGCAACCACTGGACCGATTCACTTGCGGTTTTTTGTGTGGGGTAGGGTATACCCTTCTTACAAGCAGTTTACTACGCACGATGCATGCGGGTGACCCCCACTGCACGTGACACGTGTAAAACGGAGAGGTGTCACTTTTGTTGTAATGACCATACCACGGTAATTCCGAGGAGATTCCGCTGAAACCACACAAGGATGGAGGCACCCGCCGGACCATGCCTTTCCATGTGCTACGGTTGGGGTGCAACTGCACGTGCGCACGTGCAGGGTGACGCTTCCAGATCTCGAGAACGGCCGGGCCGATTGTGCTCAGATTTGGCACACCGCTAGAGACCGCGCAGTAGGGTGCCTTGCACAGGTCAGCTGGGCCCCAGGTTGCACGTGCGCACGTGCAGGGTGACGCTTCCAGATCTCAGGAACGGCTGGGCCGATTGCATTCAGATTCGGCACACCTTTAGAGACCGGTTAGTAGGGTGCTGTGCACAAGTCAGTTAGTTTGTATTTCCGTGTGTCACGGTTGGGGTGCAACTGCACGTGCGGCCGTGTAGGGGTCGCTTCCAGATCTTGAAAATGGCAGGGCCGATTAAGCTCAAATTCGGTACACTTCTAGAAACCGGCAACTAGGGTGCCGTGCACAACACAATTGGGACCCAACTTGCACGTGCGCACGTGAAGGGTGCCGCTTCAAGATCTCGAAAAGGGCCGGGCCGATTACACTCAAATTTGGCGCACCACTATAGACCGGCGAATAGGATGCCGTGCTTGTCAGTTTGTAGCACACCCACTCCGGTCTGCACGTGCAATGCTCGTTCTCTCGTTTGGCGGCGGGCGTTTTTGCTGCGTTCAATGGTGAGTGGGTCACAGAGGTGCTTGCTCAAACAACCTGCGGTCCCGCGATGCGGAGCCCAGCATCGCAGATGCTGGGTAACCGCAGGTTGTTTGAAAAGACAAACACTATTCGTTAGAATTGTGTTTTTCTATTGAAAAACAACCGTAACCGCAGGTTGTTTGAAAAGACAAACACTATTCGTTAGAATTGTGTTTTTCTATTGAAAAACAACCGGAGCGGTCCTTCTCCGGGCTATGTTTAGCAAGTCTGGCAGCGAATCGAGACATTTTGGGTGGGGCCTAAACGTGCATTGCGATTTTCGTAAAAAGTTCAGTGTATGGGCTCTTGGGGGCGATCTACCTGATGGCACCGGTCGCTACTCGCTTAAAACCTCGTGGCACGTGGCACGTGCGATTCCATTTTCCCCATGTTAAGTCAACGGGGTTTTGGACACTTTTTGCGCGATCGCCAATAGCGGAAAAACGAGCCAAGAAGGAGGTGGTTTTCTTCCCAGCATTTTATGGCAAACACGTTTGGGTACACGCTAGTGTGCGCCGTATACCCCTCAGAACTTCGTAACGTGTCTTTGCACGAGGTCAAAGTTGAACTTTTTTCGCTCCCCATGTTAAGTCAATGGGCGTTTTTGCAGAGACTTTTTCATTCGCTCATTGTACAAAATTATATGATACGATTTTGTTTAAACTTTCAGGACTTGTTGAGAAAAGACCATAGAACATGTTGTTATGCTTCTTTAAGCTGTGCAAATTCGTTTGTTGTCTTTAGGCTCGTTTAAAGATGAAAAATTTTAACATGCAAAGTCAATGGGAGCGTCTTTGATGCTTAATAACTTTGTACCTTGAAGACATATTCAAGTGAAAAGTTGATAGGATATACAATTTTTGATGCTCTTTCCAATGATATATAGAGCGTTATTGTACGTTGTGCCGTTTTCCAGGTGTTGTCCATCTGAACTTGTCAGTCACGTGACCCATTTGACCTTCGGATCCAATTCTCGTAGTCAATTCTGGCGCTTTTGTTACCATAGCGAATTATGTAACACCGTGTTCACAGTTTACTGACGACGAAGATCCTGCTTAATCTGGTCAATGGCGTTCGAGAACTGCGGCCAAGCCCCGCTGATCTTCAACGTGATTGGTCGGTGGGCGTATAGAATCTCCGTCGTCAGGGAGACTGCGAACACGGGGTAAACCAAGGGGTAAACAATCTGTGCGTGTGGAATGGGGAGTGGTGAATGTGCAGGGGCGATGATAGGCGCTGATGTCGATTTTTATTTATACTTTTATCCTTATTATACATTCTGATCATTTTTTACGTTCAGGAGTTTTCTCTGTTGATTTAACATAAAAAACGGTGTGTTTTACTGTTATTGCCAAGTGCCATATTGATATTGAAATTGGGGTACAATTCAACATTCACTCAGTTGGGGAAACTACGAGGAGCCAAACAAAAATTGGATTAGCCAATCAGCGGCTGGAGTGGGCGGGGCGATGACCATATATGGTCATAAAATCAGACAACTTCATCTTTTCAATGAATTTTAGCATTCAAATGAAAAGATAAGGCATAAGAATGTTTTTTAACCACGCAAGGCCTACACTCACCCGGTGCATAATTAACTGGCGGCTCTAAATCGCAGAGTTACAACGCAAGGTCAAACCGTGATTGGTCCGTGATTGGCAAATGTGGCGGATTGAAACGGACGCGCCAAAAAATGTAAGCAGTACCGTGGTTTAAAAATGTCATTATTTTTATTATTTTGTTTATGGTTTTTTAAATTGTAGTTAAGTTATTATTATAGAATTAAATATTTTTGTTTATTGTAATTAAATTAAATCTTTGAACAATTTTCTTTTATAAAACCAATCCATTTATTGAATGGCCAGCTGATTGCGACGCCCAGAACCTGCAGAAAAGCCGTTTTCCTATCGCCATTTTCGAGTCAATTCGCCAAATTTTATCAAATCACACCAATTGCTAGTGAAAAATGGAAGCCTTTTCTCTCCAATAAGTGGACGCGATACCGCAAGTACCGGCTTGTCATACCGTTTTTCACACTTAGTAGCGGGGGCTGCATTTATGCCCATATATGGTCATCAAAAGTCCATTTATTGACCAATCCATTTTTTGACGTTCACCTTGTAGTTTCCCCAACTGCACTGGTTTTCTATGGCCTGTTGTGCATCATATTATTGGTAATGTGAATATAGGTACTCCATACACTGCTACTTTTGGGTACATATAAATGTTTGACCTGATTTTAGTTCACTTCACCTTATTTTTTTTTGCAGGAACAGTTATCACACCATTATTGTGCAAAAAATAAGGGTGGTTTAACGCGGCACTCTGTCAGCCACTTTTGGCTTCCATAGACATCAACAAGCCTATACCTCCAACACTACCAGAGGTTGACGTTAGCTCCACGGAATGCGCTGGCAGCTGCTGGCAGCGTGCCCATGAAACACAGCCAGGGGTTTCCTCTGTAAAGTCATTATTGTCTAGGTACATGGGCCTTTAGCAATTGTTAACAGCTATAAAAATTGGAATTAGAAATGTTCAGGTATTATGAGCATCAGCTAAACAGGGAAGCATATTTGGCTACAGCCCATCTTGCAACGCCTCAATGAAATTTAACGAGAAACTTAAATTGAGGGAGCAGCTACATAACTGAGGTAAAGCCCATAAATCCTTGTGGATTTACCTACATACCTGAGGTAAATCCACAAGGCACCTTGAGTTCAAACTATGAAGTGACTCCAAGCGAAATATAGCAGAAATTGTGACTTAAATGAGCTTAGAAATAATCTGCTTAGTTCATTTGAAATGTATTGTTACCCCCTTTCTAACCATGCATATTTTTGTGTCTTGTGAGGTCTCATATAGCAATAAAAATAGAAAAGTTATACAAGAGCAGTGACATGCATAGTTTGCTTGTGTTGTCACAACTTTGTACAATATTTCCAGCTTTATAATATGCAGTTATCAGTCACATTGGGCATCACACATGTATTATTTTTTCCTGCAGGAGGGAAGACACAGGAGGGAACTAGTGACTCATGTTTTTGCTTCTATCGCTTCACCCCTGGGGAATCAGTTCCTACACTCCTTGAATATAATGGTCACCAAGGGGTGCTGTCCTGACACGTTCACTTTCTGTTGAGAAGGTTAGAACAAACACCATGTGTGTCATTTAGTTGCATATATAATGCTTCAATGTTAAGTCTGCATAAAGCCTGGAGTCTGTAGCCACTCTTAATCCTAGGTTGTCGTGACCTTAATCTAGCCTGGGTGGATATTTTGCTGTGCTAAAAGCACGGACTCCGCTACGCCCCAGTGCGGCGGCCGGGGCGCCTCCCCTGGAAGAAGACGGCGCCGGGGAGGGGATGGACACTGTTACACTTGCGGTTTTTTGTGTGGGGTAGCGTATACCCTTCTTACAGGTATTTACTATGGACAATGCATGCGGGTGACCTCCACTGCACGTGACACGTGTAAAACAGAGAGGTGTCATTTTTGTTGTAATGACAATAGCACGGTACAACTTGATTGTGATGACAATAACTACATTATAAAAAGGATGTAGGCACCCACCGGGCAATGTGTTTAAATGTGTCACGGTTGGGGTGCAACTGCACGTGCACATGTGCAGGGTGACGCTTCCAGATGTCGAGAACGGCCGGGCCGATTGTGCTCAGATTTGGCACATCGCTAGAGACCGGTTAGTAGGGTGCCGTGCGCAAGTGGGAACTGAAAATGTCTAAAATAGAGATGTTGCAGCTTGAAGGAAATGCAATCAAACTGTCAATCATACAGTGATACTGTTTTTTTTTTACAGGAGACAAGATTGAAGTGCAGCCAACACTGCATGGTGCTTCTCACAAGAGCTGACCCATTGCTGTTTTTCAACTCTTCTGGAAAAGGTAATATTGGCAGATACTTACATTGTTTCACAATCTACGTTCTGGTATGGGTCTCCCCTCCGCGGACCATCTGGTGGGACCATCAACCGCTGGGACACGACCCAGCGGTTGTAGTGGTCTACTATTCATCTATAAATATTAAAAAGTCCGCCGCCGTCGGGGTTACGCTTAAAAAGGCTTTATGCGGCGCCGTCGATTGACGCACGAGGGTGAAATTTTCACGGCTCGTGGGTCGCGTCATTCAACAGGTCGTATTAAATCTTGGGCACGATGCGGCCGGGGGTGCGCCCGTGGCGCGTGCTCATGTGCGCCATAGGGTTAGCATTAGAATCGGCAAAAACAGGCTGCGGCGGCGTGACGCCCAAAAACGGATATTGCGGCGCCGTCGATTGACGCACGAGGGTGAAATTCTCACGACTCGTGGGTCACGTAATTCAACAGGTCGTATTAGATTTTGGGCACGATTCGGCCGGGGGTGCGCCCGTGGCGCGTGCTCATGTGCGCCATAGGGTTAACATTAAAAACGGCAAAAACAGGCTATTGCTCCAGATGGTCCGACCACTACAACCCTATATGATGCACTCTTGGCTGCATCCCCACCCCACCCTTTCCCCTTACAGTATGAAGTATGAATAACAGTGATTTTTTACTGGAGCTGCAAAGTGTGCCTTTGAACCACCTTATGATATACTAGTATCTAAAGTATTTGTCCATCAGGATCAGTTATCTAATGGCAGTAGACTGTTGTCTTCACATACTTCATATCTATTTTGGCTACTGCATTGTGTTCTGTAAAAAAATATGGAAAACGTTTCGGATGTATTTTTTAGTGGAATGCTTCTTTACAGATCCCGAAAGAAGATAACAGCTTGTTTTCTTCACCGCCACCAGTCTACCTGCTCTCTGCACACTCGGCAGAGCGCGGCAGGGCACCCCACGGAGCTGCACTAGTCACATCCGGGCCCCACGCCGGTCGACGGCCGATGCGATGGAGGCACTACTCCGAGCTGGACTGGTGGCCGGCTCGGAGCTGGTGGATGTCGACCGCGGAGCGGCGATCTACTCCTTCCACCGGGGCCGGCAGCAGGAGCTCCAGATGTCCTTGTGCCACCCGTCCGGCCAGGCCTCCATCCACCTTGTAGAGGCGGAGCGGGAGACGGTGAAGCTCACGGCTCCGTTGGAACATGGCCGCTGGGAGGCCTGCGGCGCGGACGACGGATGCGGCAGTTGGTCAAGACACGGCAGCGTACTCGAGGTGCTTCTCGCCTGGAGGACGCAGGCGAATCGCGTTATCCGAGCTGTGCCTCGTCATGGTGCGATGAGCCTTAATAGACTAATGCATATTCTTCCTTTGGCTGTAATTCATTTGCTGCTGCCCGCTGGGCTAAGGAGTAACTCTGGGCGCCTACTTTGGGCAGACGCTCGTCCAGTGCCGCTCTTCGTTTGCCGCACATATCTTTATTTATTCTTTGTTACAATTCCGTCTTTGGTCATTTTTTTTACCATGGGGGCACTTGAAAGTTTTGTTTTTAAATCTGTGGACATTGAACCTGGAATCGGTTTTTGTCGGATTTCGGTTTTGTTTTTGCACTGTGGAAATATCTCGTTCAATATTTTTTAAGATAGGGCGTGCATAAACTTTTAGTCTCATTACTCCTCTGTGCATCTAAATTCTAAAGTACTATAATGTGTATCTCAAGTGTTTGGTGCTGTACTGTTATTATTTATGGTTAATCCAGTGCTGATTTATGGTTAATCCAGTTTTTATTCGATTGAATCGTTGTGTGTAATGTGCATGACATCCGCGTACCGCCTGTAGCAGTGTTATATATTTTCATTTATGCTGGAAAATAATAATTTTCTTGTTCATTGGCTTTATTCGATGACAGAGACGTGCCAGATGACTGGGGCTGCGACTTGACTTGGTAGTTGTTAACGTTGCAAACTTCAACCATCAAGCATGATGTGGAAACGTCACATTCCGTTATCAAATCTTCGTACCGTAAATACTGAATAAGATCAATACTAGGCTGGAGCTTGCTAGAAAAACCGTGCATTGACAACGGCGAGTGGTGGACCTGAGTAGCGGCCGGGGCTACCCGGACGGTTTCGTCCTCCAGGTGGAGTCCCAGACTGGTGACTGGGAGGGCTTGCACCCAGGCGGCGGTGTGGGGCTCTGCGGCAGCAAGAAGACGCACCCGGACCACCTGGTTTGCCCCATCCAGCAGACACTGCTGAGACGTCTTAGAGAACGCCTCATCCCAAGCGCGCTGCTTGCCCTCTTCTGACCATTAGTTATACCACGGATCACCTTATGTGACACCTTATAGGCCCGGGCAGTATGTGATCTGTGGTTATACCCAAGTCTATGTTAACTTATTTTTTATGCGTATTCATACCTATGCTCATTTTATTTGCCGCATACGCTAGAGCAATCTTAGCATAGAAATGAGTATTGTATAAATTGTATTATACCTATAATGGGTATGAAAAATTTTCTAGCCTGAATCTTCAATGCAAAGCAATGTCAAGAGTATTACATAAATAAGAGTTTTACGCTTAGGCCAAAACTTTTGTTTTTTGCTTATTTCTGTTTATTAAATAAAATCAATTTTTTACAAAAATATATGTTAACATATTCAGCTACATTTTGTCAAAATTGTTTAAAGATATCAATAAACCACGATGGCGGCACAACGGAGTTCTATAGCCTTGGGCACAACTCAAACACCAAGCAGAAACTGTCACGTGACTGCCTGGCCCAACCTTATCTTTAGGAATCGTAGGAATCTATGGGAATCTATAGGAATCTTGTCGGGACGTCGGGACCCTTGACGGATCCGGCTGTTGATTGAGGTGTCAGTTGTGATAGAAGTGATCAGATATTATTTCGAAAAATTCGTCATAAATTGTTGCTGTCTAATGGTTTGCTAGAAGAGACTTGAAGACTCGGGAAAGAACAGACACGGTGAGTTTGACGCTGCACTGCCACGCTCGACCATCTTCGTCGGCTCGACTAACTTGTTTAGCGTCTGTTAACTTTTTCGAAAGGTAGTTAGGCAAGAAACATGAATTTCGCAAAAATCGTCCTTATTGATAGTCAAATGGTCACTCTGTTTTGCAACAAATGACTCCGAGGATAACAGATTCTGGTTATATGCTCCGAAAAATGCGCATCTGAGACAAACGCGAGTTGTTTACAGCTTTGATTCACGTTGCTAGGTGGTTGCTATGGAGCTATGGATACTTCCTTGCAGAGTAATTTGCATTTTGGTGTCTTATGTGATATCGACATATGCCACCCCTAATAGCTCAATTAATGCTGATAACAGTCCGGCGCACTGTGGTATCTCCGATTCATTTATGGAGACATTTCTTTTATTGGAAACGTTTCCAATTTTGACTACTCTTCTGTTCCAAAAATGAAAACGCTTGCTCCATAAATAGAAACGCTAACATTTCCGCACAAATTTTCTTGCCAAGGGTGGCTGGATTTGATGTAGGTATAACCACTGTTTTGCGTAAAACAAGCACGGATACACCAAAAGCACTTGTCTTCTTGCATGGAAAGCTGTCGTATGCATTCAAAGTCACCACCTAAAAATGCTCCTGAATCGTATCCATTTATGGAGACTTAGTTTCCAAAAATGGGAACGCTGACGTTCCAAAAATAGAAACGCTGAAGTTCAAATGTGTGCAAATTTAGCTTAAAGGAACTATCCCACCTTCTAAAATGTTGTTAAAACCAGTTAAATTGTGGTCGACTTTATAGATTGGATGATATGTGACGTCACAGCCCAAAATTACCTCCTTCCCCAGGTCACATTACTGTCATAAAGCTGATTCTTTTTACTCTGTAGGCACTACAACAAAGTTCAGACCAAGTTTTAAGTGATTTTTTAACTAACAAACCCATTTAAATCAGAATGACTAAACGAGGTGACGTCACACTAACGGTCGCTCCATGTTGAAGATAGGGCCTGGCGCAAGGCCCATTTTCAAATGAAGGGAACAAATTTCTTCAACACCAAGAGGCCGCGGGGGTTGCAACCTAGATAGATAGTGGTTTCTGAACCTCGCCGCAAACTTGGCTATCTCAACTCAAACCCCATGTTAAAGGTGGGATAGTCCCTTTAAATGTGTTTTTTAAAATTCACATGCAACTAAAAATTGATGTTTTGGGACTGGTTTAGCATCTCGGCTCTCGGCAGTTACCTTGGACGTCGGGTTTGATACTAATATATTATGCGCCGCAACTTAGCACATTCAAAAGTCAACTAAAACTAAGATTTCCTAGAAACTACTGGACAAATGTGGTCCAAAGTGGGCAGTACATAAAGTGTAGATATCATTTCAATATATAAAATTGATATCAATGTTACACATGAGCTAGAATGAATAAATTCATCGTCAGAATACGACGGTATTTGGTGTGACGACGGTGCAGACCTTATTTGATTAGAAAACTTGTGAATTTTTTTATCACGTCAACATGTTATAAGCATCGCCTCGTTTGTCGACTTTCGGTTTCTGATCGGAAATTCGGAGAAGAGGAATATAAACTAGAATGCTGGCTGTCGATTGGTGGCATCCTGCGCATGCCAAATTGCAGCAATCAATGCCCAGTTTGCTTTCAAGGTAGCGATGCACGCAGCGTCTCCATTAATGGAACAGACCGTTTCTATTTTTGGAAACGGCGTATCCATTTTTGGAACATTGTTCCAAAAATGGAAGCGTTTCCATAAGTGGATCGGAAATACTACAGTGTGCCCGACTGATAATATTGTTGATTTGTTGAAGAGGATGCTGAAATGTATGAATAGAGCTCTGCAATCCTTGTTTTAATTAGTTAAGCGGTAAGCTACATAGAGTGACATTCAAAAGTGGGCCAAAAATCTTGTCGGACGTTTTTTACCTTCAACCTTGGGCGTTGTTGGCCACACCTGCTAGTCTTTTATTGCAGGTGAATAAAACCGCAATCAAATTTACATAAATCAAAATTACAGCTTATGGTGCTGCAGTGTACCTGAACGAACTTTCAAAACTGGGTGAAAACAGAAAAATGTAGGTGGTGACCCATGACAGTCTTCGAGTTATTCTCGATTTTGTAGAAAAAAGAATACTTGCCACGCAATGACAAGAGGGCTTTATATTGTTTAATGTGTATGCAATAGGTACATTAATTCGAGCCGGCAGGGAAGGGGGATGTTTTTGGCCACAAATGTCAGTTGTTTTCTTCTTATGTGTAACAAAAACCATGGCACGCAGTAGGAGATAATTGAAATGCTATTCTTTTAACCGAAAACACCCTCAAGCATTGTGGTTTTACTTTAAGGTTTCGGGATTTTTAGCCATAATGGCCTGTGGTACCCGATCTTATCGAGCTCCTGGGATTATGGCTTTACGAGATCAATCAGGATCAGGTACGGAGTATATGATGTGGGACCAGTGTGCGTCCAGTCTTGCCTTGAAGCAGTTCAGCGAGGGTGCACCAACCACCTCGGAGGGGAGTCCATTCCAGTCGTTCACGACTCGGGCGGCAAAGGCCTCACCCTCGAGGCTGCTGGAAACTTCTGGATTTTAAACTGATGTCCCCGAGTAACTCCTGCAGCCAGAGCGAAGAATGACCTGGGGTCGGTCGGCATCGACCCCTCTGTGAAATAGTTGGTATGTGAAGATCATATCACCTCTCAGTCGTCTATAATGCAGTGATGGCATCTTCAGTTCTTTGAGTCGCTCCGTGTAGGGTTTGTGGCGGATGCTCTCTACCAGCCGGGTTGCCCTGCGCTGAACTCTTTCGACCTGTCGCTGATTCGCTCTGTAAAATGGACCCCATACAAGGTTCCCGTATTCTAAGTGTGGGCGAACCAGGGTTTTGAAAAGAATGGGCAGCGTGACTTCGTTGATGAGGGAAAACGATTTCTTGATTACGGCGAGGAGCTGCGTAGCCTTCGCCACTGCTGACGCTGCGTGTTCACGAAACTTAAGAGCGTCGTCCACGTGGACACCAAGGTCTTTCTCCACTCTTGCACTGGCTAGGGGAAAATCGCCCAGAGTGTATGAGAATCCGCAATTCGTGCTTCCTATGTGCAGTACGGTAACCGCAGGTTGTTTGAAGTAGACAAACACTATTCGTTAGAATTGTGTTTTTCTATTGAAAAACAACCGGAGCGGTCCGTCTCCGGGCTATGTTTTGCAAGTCTGGCCGCGAATTGGGGCAACTTGACCGGGGCCTAAACGTGCATTGCGATTTCCGTAAAAAGTTCAGGGTATGGGCTTCCGGAGGCGATCTACCTGATGGCATCGGTCGCTACTCGCTTAAAACCTCGTGGCACGTGGCACGTGCGATTCCATTTTCCCCATGTTAAGTCAATGGGGTTTTGGACACTTTTTGCGCGATCGCGAATAGCGGAAAAAATCGCGGAACAAGGTATGGTTTGCTGCCCACCAT